AATAAAAATCACCTTTGGGTGTATTTGGGTGTATTTGACGTTTCTCTGGAACGCATTGGTCGATTTTGGTGATTGACACCTGTTTTCAACAGTTAAAGCCAATAGAATCGAAGGGGAGGTTCCACATACACACACGTTACCATTTAGGAGTGAGAGTGACGCGCACGCTGTCAAAAGCTATGTTATGCACTGAAAACTGAAAACTGAAACCTAGGCTCAAACTAGTAAATATGAAGATGGATTATCAGTAATCATTTCAAAGGGACACAGACACATTGGATTAACCATTGGATTAACCTTCAGCAGCGTTGTTATCGTTTTAATGCCATTGAACACAACTTTTGATCAGAACAACAGCAAAGGTAAGAATATCTCTGTGTTTGACCCGTAAAGCTACGTTGTGTGATGTCTGAGTTTGCTTCCCCTGTCGCGAGTTCTGGTTGCTCACTGATGATACTTATATTTCTGGAATCTGTGGAATCTCAGTTTGCTAATCGATATCTTGTTTGTGCAGATCCGATAAGTAATGAGGGTATTTTACCGAGAGTTCTGTGCTAAGTGCCTTCGCATTTTTTCGCTCAGGGCTAATTCAGAGCCTTTGTTATTACCCTTGTGTTTCATTTAGCTAAAAATGTTCATATTGTCAGTTAGCTGAGTTTCTTCCCGTTAAGTGGATATGACACATTCATAGTTTTTTAAATGGTAAGAAGCCCTCAGACGCTGTTTCTTGCAAGATGTTGCGTTTTGCACCCGCCTGCGGGGGCATGGGGCTTAACAGTTAATAGCAGGGAGATAAGAGAGAAAGAGTCTGGGCCTAGACATTTTACGATGAGCATTTCAGTTCATACAAATGCTTCCTTATTTCAGATTAATCACACACAGACCGCGGTATATAAACACTTAAATATTGTTTCTTAAAAGTATAAATGCATAATTGCTTTACTTACCATACATGTAAAATGTATTTACATGCCTTAATAAATACACCTTCATAGTTGACATGGGTAAATATCTACATTTTTGTAATGTACTGAATTTATGTATTTCCGCGTTTATATGTTAATGAAGTAGATCATCACTAGAGCTCACACATCACAAAAACACCTCTGACCCTACCTCACATTTTTTTCGAAGGGGACTGTAACCGCTTTCTCGACGCCTTTTGTCTGACCATTGAAGTTTCTCCTTTGAGAAATCAAACAGAAAAGATACGTTGTCGGCAGGATTCGAACCTGCGCGGGAAGATCCCAATGGATTTCTAGTCCATCGCCTTAACCACTCGGCCACGACAACTTCATACTATATACAGGTTGCGCCCTAACGCTAATTCTAACAATTCCTTCCATTTCTTAACAACATCCTAACAAAGTCCTAACAATTCCTAACACTTTACCGACCCAAGTCCTAACAGGTCCTAACAGACCAATGACAGGGCAGTGTATCGCCACGTGCCATTGAAACTGATGGTACCCGCCCATTCCATCTCCAACAGCGTTGACAAGGAAATAACAGAAGAAAAAGTGGTATTTTCAAGCAAATTATGATAAACATGTATGAATATCAGCGTTATTGTAAGGGACACGTCGCTTGCAACGCGGAAGATGTTAGGATTACACGTACTAAAATCGTTCATTAACGATGTAGTAGCGGACAATGTTGTGTTATAATAAATACAGTGGCTCTGTCCAAGGTGATGCCGTGACGTGATTGACTATGTCCATTGTGAACTCGCGGCGTGATTGGCTTAGGTCCATCTTCAATGGACAGCAATTATCATGATTGGATTATAGATTGCAGATCGGGCAGCCGGTGCCATATAAATAGTAGGCTACAACTTGATACCATGGATGTCATAAAGTTGGAAGATAAACGTAGTGATAAAACGTTTTACTTCGAGTTGCTGAGTGATACAAAAACTGGAAACAATCATGCACAATCGCTTCTAGAATTATTGCCTGTGGTGAAAAACTGCTGTTAAAGGGACCACAGCACCATCTAGTGGCGGTGTTTGGAAACATGTTGCTGATTAACATTCAGTGACGTTTCTCTTTATGTGCACTCCACATTAAAACGTTGGTTAAAACAGCGACAACTGAACACAATATGTCGAGGCCAAGATAAAACATGAATGTATATAGAATGATATCTTAACCAGTTTTGCTGCTCTCATTATTTTTGATGAAGCTATTTCCTGTTGGGTTTGTGGGGTTTTGGAAACTGTGTGTCAAAATGGATACGAAGAAACACTGGTGGAGGTGATATGAAGAGCCTTTGCTTGGTTCGCATATCTGTAACAATATAAACAGTATTAGATTTCTGCAATTACAGTGTTATTTAAGTTAAAGTAGTAGTTTTAGAAGTACTCAATGCAGAAAAAACGTCCTAATATAGTATGTAAACAAATAAATCATAATGTAGTAGGCCTATGTTGAATAAAACCAAATATAATATTAAGATAAGATGTCAAAAAAAGTATGCCAGAAAAACATAGTATAACAAAACATATCATAAAAGGTGACAGTAGGCTATAGTATGTCCAACAAATCTGAAAAACGACTTAGTATGTCAGAAATATGTTAAAGTCCCAGTATGATAAAGTCACAGTATCATAAACATGTATACATATTGTATTTAGAAAATATCATCAAAAAGTCCTATTTTATAAAATCATAGTATGTCAAACAAAAGTAAAAGTCATAGTATAGTATGGCAAAAATATGATGAAAAAAGTACAATATGAGTGTTAGACATGTTTCGATTTGACTTCTGGGTAGCTTGCAATTCCACCGACCTTGAAACACGCAGCCGTCTCGTTCACCATGCTGTGTGGATGTCTGCCTCTATGCTGCACCATTGACATTCAAATCCACCCATCATGTGTGTTTATGATTAAAATGTTAACAATATCACAAGATTCTCTATCATCTCACTCTATCACATACTGTTGATCTCAAAGTGCACAAGTTTGTTGCATTTAACTTTGAAATGCAACATTTATCTTGAATTTATCCTTAATAATTCCTGTGCTTATTTATCGGAGAGCCCTCATTTTTAAAAATGTTCACTTGCACCAATGAATAATACTGGTAAATAATTGTGACCTCAATATTTATCAAAATCATTTTGATGATCATTTTGGCCATAATCGTGCAAGATAATGTGTATTAAGTGACCTTTACATGCTTTTCCCTCTTTCATAAAGCGAGATTGCAAGGAGACAGCAACTGAAATGGCATGGAAATATTTGGACATTTGAAAAGGTGTGTATATTGTAATCCTCGCATCCCATAACAAAATAAAAAAAACATAATCTCTAAACAAAAGTAATACGCATTCAAAACATGAGTACTTACAGCCACAGGCCAGGATACAGGGGACCCTGCCACTGTTTTCTAATTTATAAACCGTTGTGTTATTTGAGTGTACATATGGTGCCAGCGTACACGAAAAAGGATCAAAATAGAATAATAGAAATACAATTCATATAGATCCAAACCACATCCCACACTGTTCTGTGTTTATTAACTTCTATCTATTAACTAAAGTGGCCCCTTGGCTAAGCAAAGTGAGTTTTGAGGTGCCATCGCTTAAATGTTTATAGCACAAACATCTGTACAGTATTTCATTTTACATTCTGTTTAATCTTTTTCTATTTCACAACTTATTCCTGCATTTGACATACTTTTATGTGACTAGCACTATTTTAATTCTTAATTTCTTGTCTTAAATATACTGTATGCTCTAATCATGTACCTGTTGTTAATATGACAATAAAGCTTCTGAACATTGAATTTAGAAAAATAAGAAAAAACCTGTTACCAGTAAAATTGCTAATAGCCTTCTGTGTTAAAATAATTGTAAAATAAGAACAATGAGCGACACAGCATGTTACATTTCGTGATATAAATTATTTATTTACATTTACAGAAAAAATGACCCCATCAAGACAATGTAGTAATAACTATTGGAAATAGAACCCAAGATACAGAAGCTGGCGTTGCCGCCCAACAGAGAGCTCTATAGTAACATTGTGCCCTCTGTCAAAGGTCTCCTATAACACAAGGTGCAAGGCATCACGTGTAGTCCCCCCCCCACCCCCACCCCCTACCGGACCGACAACACACACCTCAGCTAGAGGCCCCCCCGTAGCCCTCCCTTACCTCGCCCTCACACACTTACACATAATCTCCCACCCACGAAACCCATCTCCGCATCGCCCCACAGACCAGCCCAACGATCTTACCCCCACCCCCGTCTCGCATCCGTTTCGTCNGTGTGCTCAGGCTGAGTTCCGCGTGTCTCGCTGTCTCGCAGACCCCACACCAGTGAGCCAGCTCACAGTGTCCGCTCCTCGCAGCAGCGAACCTCGCAACGTCCCGTCGAGTGTGTGTGTGTGAGGAAGTCCGCGGATTGGTCCAAACGTAACGGCTTCGCAGACGTTACGTTACGTCACTATACCCGAAATACGTCACAGAACCCAGGAAGTAAACGAAAAAGAGAAATGTCCAACGAGGCGTTCTGGGGCAGCATAGACAGGTCTTCTCTGTGTTAGAGTTTTACTCCTACAGGGTGTACTCTGAGGGTTTGTGACTCTGCAGACCGTTCACATGCAGACAAACCTTCATAACACACAAGGGGACGGGTAAGAACCGGAAAGGCATGACATGGGACCTTTAATTACATTTCAAAGCCTCTTTACTTTTACTTGACTAAAGAAGTTTAGTCAGTACTTCTACTTTTACCAGAGTATTTTTAAACACGAGTATCTGTACTTCTACTTGAGTAAAGGGTGTGTGTACTTCTACTTGAGTACAGGATGTGTGTACTTCTACTTGAGTAAAGGATGTGTGTACTTCTACTTGAGTACAGGATGTGTGTACTTCTACTTGAGTACAGGATGTGTGTACTTCTACTTGAGTAAAGGATGTGTGTACTTCTACTTGAGTACAGGATGTACTTTTGCCATCTCTGCACTGTGGAGATATCAGTGTGTAACTCACCCCTCCCTCTCTCTGATTGGCCAGCAGCTCGTCCCTCAGCCTCCTCAGAGCCGACACCACTTCCTGTTTCAATCCGGCGCCTCGGCATCCATTCTGCCCCGCTCCCTTTGAAACCTGACGGAAAGTGAAGGTAACTTTAGTTTAGTTACTGCAGCACGGAATACGTGGAGACGAAAGTCACAAGGAGAGGATTCATCCTTCATGTCCAACAGTGTGTTCGTGCTTCAGTTTGTAGCAGATCTGAAGAAATGCTGTCCCCGTTCTGAGATATTCACGGGTATGAGGCGTAAGGAAACACGAATAAATAATGCCTGAACTTACATAGAGGCAGAGGCAGACAGTTATTAAACCCCCAAAGCGGTAATGGGTACGAGTTCTGCTTTAAGGTATTATTAGGAAGTTTTAAAGAATGCCAGATTTAGCCAAAAGTCTCATTTGTTATCTGTAGTTTTACAGACGGCTTTAAAGCTCTAATGAAAAAGCGTCGCTGCAGACCAGCCTGATGTTCCTGCACATCTTTCAAATTGAGCGGCTGCTATTTTCTTGTGCAATCCCTAAAATATGTGTTATATAATCACCTCTTTCTCCTCGTCCTCCTCGCTGTCGCTGTTGTTGACGAAGCACAGCTGCAGGTTTTTGTGGTGCTGAAATCTGAAAACAGGAAACAAACAAGGACTAATACTATAATCTATTATCGTCATCCTCTATTATTATTATTATTATTATTATTATTACTAGCAGATAAATTAATTTCCATTTTTTCATTTTTTTATTGAAATTGAAAATATTCTCCTGAATTTCTAAATTATTTTATTTATTCGTCTTTTTCTGTAGTTTTTGAAACTTCAAAATGTAGTTATGTTGAAATAAATTCACAAATGTATTATTATTATTATAATATATTTTAACAGGTTAAGGAATGATATAAAAACATGTGAATAAAATCATAAAAACAAAGGTTATTAATAATAACAAAACAAGTTATTTTTTTAAACGTTAATATTACTTTTGTCTTCCAGGAAAACCTTGTAGAATAAATGAAAATAAAAATATGATTAAAAGAATAAAATATAAATTAATTAAAATATGTTGTTGTCGCTGTTGTTGTGTTACCGTGACGACACGACAGCGACGCGGCACTTCCTTAAGTCTTCCTCGTCTTCCTCCCAAACGTCTCTCCACTCGCCCTCCTCCGGCCTCTGCAGGTAAACAACAATAACAACATTATCATTTAATTGATTTATTACAATATTAGGACGAAAAATATGAAAAATGGTAAAGAATATTGTGAAATCATTCAATTTAGATTATATGTTTATATTTAGTCTGTGTAAAATTAAATAAATACAGAATATTAATAATAAAACAAAACAAGAACACCTGGATTAACAACATAATAAGATATTTAATGTAGAAAAAGGAGGAAGAAGTTAATATTTATAAAGTCCTGTCCACTTTTAATATTTTATAATCATAGATGTAAAGACAATGTAATCACATTAAAATATTCAATATTAAAAATATCCTCCAATAATGAACTCAAATCAGTTTTTCTCTGTCTGGCGAAACAGCTATAAAAACTACATTACCCATGATCCTCTGCTGCGCTTAATAGTGAATCAGAGCGATGGGGAATTCATGCTAAAACATAAAAGTCTGCATGACGTTCCAGACATTGCATTTTCAATAAGCAACGCTGACAGGAAGTCGTCTGCGAGGACACCGAGCATTGTGGGAAATGTAGTCTTTAGAGCAATAACACCACTAACAGAAACCGAGGCCGTTTCTCAATGTCGAGTAAAGCTGCTGCAGAGCCACTATTTCAAGTATACTACGTCATCGAGTGGCGCCGAATGCTGGGCATTTAAACGGTCCTTCGGCGCCACTCGATGACGTAGTATACTTGAAATAGTGGCTGTCAATGGATTTAACTTCTGTTAGACAGCTATATGCCATACATTTTTGCATACATTCACAGTAAATATTTATTCAGTATGACAGCTGTCTAACAGAAGTTAAATCCATTTCTCACTTATTCTGACAATGTACTTAACCCCAAATAAAAGAACCCCATAAAAAGAGTTGTTAAATAATAGTGAAGTCTCGTTGTAATTACCAATAACTCTTCGAGGTTTTCTTTTTCAGCTTTGCCAAAAAAGCCACTGTGTCAAGTGTCCATCCTGGTTTTGCCGTCCGGAGTTGTCCAACTATTGGCGACTGTTATCTCGCACATGCGCAGTAACAGATCTGGCAGGGGACGGATCGGTAGTGACGATGACAGATGGCTCTGCAGCAGCTTTACTCGACATTGAGAACGGCCCCTGACTCTCTTGGTCACTCACCTTTGACCTTCTCGCTTCCTCTCCTGCATGCTCCAGCTCTGCTATTCGCTGGCTCAAATCCTCCCAGTGCATGATGGGAAGTTCCCTGGTGGTCTTATGGATATTGCCGGCGATATGATGAGGGATCTTCTCCTCCTCTTTCCTCCTCCTCCTGCTTCTTCCTCCTCCTTCTGCCTCCGCCGTTCTCTTTCTCTCCTCCATCCTCCTCTCTGGACACGAGAACAAAAAATCTAAACGAGAACATAGTGACCATCACCTGTGTAACTCTCACGCTCCTATTGGCTAGCGCAGCCAACACATTGTGCAATGATAGGCTAAGGGCGGGACATCCTAACGGTGAACTAATCTAAAACAGAGCCCATTTTTTTAAATCCCATTCTGTTAGAAAATAAAGTAAAAGCTATTTCCCTAAAATAATGTAATATCTCGTTTATATAAACTAAACAGCGTGATAATATTACTTTTATTTTCTATGTCAGAGATACTTTAATAAAGTAATTTTTAAGCATAGAAAATGCATAATAATAGTTTCTTAGAATTTTCAAGTGACTATTTCTCTACCTTTTTTCTTATGGTTAAGTCTGGTTTTCCTGTGTTAACAGCTGCATTAACACACACCTCAGATCTGGTCTCAAAACTGTTTAAACTTCAAAACAGGAGCTTTTTTAACTCTGGGTTAAAGTGGTTAAACTTCCCCCGCATGTTGTTTACCAGGAGCGGGTAGTCTCGGAGGGTTTTCCCCGTCTTCTGCAGTCACATCCACTCGCCTGGATCCCCCCGACATGTCGCTGTTTTTCTTCCCCGGGGAATAGCGTCCCTTCGCCGGCCTCTCTGCCTGGCGCTCACCGCTGCCTGGGAAAATTCGCGGAGGTTTAATTTTTAACATGAAATAAAAAGGAGTTAAAGTTGTTTAAAGAAGTTAAACTCCGTGCTGAAGGAGCCGGACCTTCTCCTCTCCTCCCCCTTCCTCCCCCTTCCTTCCACCCCCTCTTTAACCTCTTTCTCTCCCCGAGTGACGGGAGCTTCAAATCGGGTAAGAAACTGGGCAGCACCCGGGAAGGGGAAGCCTGTATGGAAGACCATTCCTGCCAATATTATTAAAAAGGAAAAGAAAGATTACAGTGTAAAATGTTGAATTAATTAATAATAAAAAGTATGTTTTTAAAAAAAAATTATTGACATAATATCTCAAAATAATAACTTTGATCCTGAATAATGAGTAAATCTCCCCAAAATAAAGAGTAAAACTGATACTCTCAAAATAGAATGACTTAGTATGTAATCAGAATGGACTTATAACAACTTTAAGAATTAAATCAAAATAAAAATATTTGTCCGAGAATACCTTATCTATCAGGACAGCATAATGACGTTAAAATCTTAAAACGATGTCTTAATATCTTGAAAAATGACAATACATAGTTTTGTTAAATAAAGACTTAATTTGCAGGTTCATTGTGTAATTTAAATCGATACAATTCAGAGTTAATTATTTGAAATATTTCTGTGTTATTATCTCATCATACAGAACTGTTTTTTTTTTGGCGTATTTTTTTTTATGCACAGAAGACTTCGGGCGGAACAAATCATTTACTGGAAAGAAACTGTTTTATTTTTTATAATTTTTTCCATGTTGGTTTGTGTCTGTGTGTTTAGTGAATAGCAGTGAAGGGTTACGAGAGACTGGGGGTCCATTTCAAATTTTTTTGGAGATGACGATTCAGAGAGATGAGAGGATTTGGGAATCTGGAGAACAGGCGAGTTTAGGGTTTTAGCCTGTCACAACAACAAAGAACTCCTTTAAGTATAATCAAAATATAAACACTAAGAGACGGTGTGTGCGTACTTTAACTTGGAGTTCGGATGTAGTATAATCAAAAACAAATTTCTGAATGTCGTGTGTGTGCGTATGTGTGTGTGGGTGTGTGTTGTGTGTGTGTGTGTGTGTGTGTGGTGTGTGTGTGTGTTGTGTCTGTGTGTGTGTGTGTGTGTGTGTTGGTGTGTGTGTGTGTCTGGTGTTGTGTGTGTGTGTGGTGTGTGTGTCCGTGTGTGTGCTGTGTGTGTGTGGTGCTGTCTGTGTGTTTGTGTGTGTGTGTGTTGTGTGTGTTTTCATGTAATTAAAAAAATGTAACTTTTTAAAAACTAAAACCTATCATTATTTTTGGCAACTCCTTGATTTGAGGAAGTGAAAAATGGTTTCTGTATAAGTATTTTTACTTTTTTGTCACAAAATGTTTGCAAATAAAAATGTTCTGTCAATATCTAACATAGAAAATTGATTTCATTTTATCTGAACCTGTTGTTTTTAGACAAATTCCTTCTATATTAGAGTTCATTTACATTCATCTTCTAACTGGTTATTATCCCCACAGCTGGTCCATAATACATTTTTTCATAACCAATTTATAACAAAAAGTGCTTTGTGATAATATGAATCATAATCCAACCTTTCTTCTATCGGACATTCAAAACCAAACAGAGTGCTGTACTTTCATCTTTATATATTGATAAACAAATCAAATAGACATAAACAAATGAAAACGACAGTGACAATGTTAAACTGATACATCAAGATGGCAGTCGCTCTCTTTTCCTCCGTTTGCTCGCTTCGCGAACCGTTGAGAAAAGTTCAACTTTTTCAATCTTAGACGAAGCGCCAGCCAATCAAATCATATGCCAGGTACAAGCTCTAGGGGCCCCAAATCAATAACCGCGTGCTTGTGGTTCCGGGGCGGGACATTAATTGTTCATTGGTTGTTGTCGCACGCCAGGGGACACGCCCACCGGCAAGGGCGCGGACGCTGCTTGTGGGTACCCGTGTGGACGGCATCCTTTAAATGGCCACCGACTGTAAACTCAAATACCACACAATATAAACCCCTTATTTAAAAGCACTGGCATGTCTAGGGATAAGGGGTGTAACAGTAAATATTAGTATATCTTACAACAATGTTTATTTATATATTTACAATAGTCTCTTATGATGAACCACTTGTTTTTAATGCTACACATCACCCTAAGGATAAAATAAACTCATTACTTGTATTATTATTGTCTTTTTAAATCCTTTTTCAGTGTTTAATCATTTGTTTCTTGTCCATCTGTCGATGATTATAATCATATAATGAATAGTAATAGATGATGTAGCAATAATAAACACAACCATGTTATGAAAGATTTAATTACTAGAGGGGATGATAACTTCACCAGTAAATAGATTAGCTTCTTATTATTAATTACTCCAGCAAAATCAGACCATGTTGTATTCCACAGCGAATGCGGGTATAAGCGACCAGTTTTAAGGAAAAGGAACGATCCATAAACATTCATCTGTTTATCATTTAATTATTACCTAATAATCATTCCATGTACTGTGTGCCAGGACGTCTCTTGCAATTATTTCTATTATATGTGTATTATAATTTGCACATCTCCAAAACATTCTCTTGGCACTTTTTATTTGTTTTGATGTCTTATATATATATATCTGCTGCGGTGGTTGGAGAAGACCGGTGTTCAGTTTTTCGATTGACGAGATCTACACTGTACTGCTGAGCACACTGATAAAGAAACCTTCTTCTATGCGCGCTCGAGACGAG